TAAAGAAAATGGTTCTATATAGAACCATGACCACTCAAAGAACCCTCTGAATCATTAAAAGGTAAAAGGAACTGCAAATAGTATAGAATCAAATAATAGCATAAAAAACTATACAAGTTTACTTGTAGTTGGCAATTTGTTGGAAGCAAGATTCCACCATGAGAGGTGGTCTTAACAGTGATGAAAGGGGTAAGTGCTGAAATGAGTGAAAGTCATACTACATGGCGCTCGCCTGCACATGATGCACTGATTCATCCAGACTCAGTGACTGTACTGACCAAGAAAAAAATAACTGTGAGAAATGCTCCCCACTGCAGAACACACATTATTCACTGGTAGCACTTGAATGCATTGTGAGCTGCAGCTTCATTTCTCTTCTTTTTCTATCTCTATTCTTTATTTTCTTCTATCCTTCTCTTTTACTCTGTCTCTGCCTCTCTTTCTCAATATCTTCTTTCTCCATCTCTGTCTTTTTCAGTCTCACTTTCTCCATCTATTCTATTTCTCCATTCAATTTTTTCCTTCCCTCTCTCTTTCTCTCCTCATGTCTTTCTTGTCTTTTATCCTTTCTTTTTCTGCCTCTCAATATCTTTCTCACTCCTCTTCTCTCTTCTTGTCTCTTCTTTCCATATTTTTATCATTTTTTCTTTCCATATTTTTTCGATCCTTCTCTGCGTATCTCTTTACTCTCTTTTGCTTTCTCCACCTTTTTCTCTTTTCTTCCGCAGGTTCTGTTGTTTTTTCTTGTCTTTTTGAACCCCCTCACTATCAGTCTATTTTTACTATCAATCTATTTTTTCTTTTTCTGTCTTTAAAAGTGTTTTTCTTCTGTCTCTCTTTTGATATCCTCATTATTTTTTTCTCTCTGTTTCTTTCGCTTGCCCCCTTGCACTTGTTTCAAAACCCCAGTTATGTAAGCCTCTATCTTGAGAGAGTAAGAATGAGAGAGCTGGAGTGAGAGTCAGAGTGAGAGAACTAAAGTAATAATGTGTGAGAGAGCTACAGTAAGAGTGAAATAGCCATAGTAAGAGTGACAAAGCTACAGTAAGAGTGAGCTAGCTGGAGTAAGAGTGACAAAGCTACAGTAAGAGTGAGCTAGCTGGAGTAAGAGTGACAAAGTTACAGCAAGAGTGAACTAGCAGGAGTAAGAGTGACAAAGCTATAGTAAGAGTGAGCTAGCTGGAGTAAGAGTGACAAAGCTACAGTAAGAGTGAGCTAGCTGGAGTAAGAGTGACAAAGCTACAGTAAGAATGAGCTAGCTGGAGTAAGAGTGACAAAGCTACAGTAAGAGTGAGCTAGTTGGAGTAAGAGTGACAAAGTTACAGTAAGAGTGAACTAGCAGGAGTAAGAGTGACAAAGCTATAGTAAGAGTAAGAAAGCTGTAGTGAGTGAGAGTGAGAGAGCTAGTGTAAGACTGAGAGAACTACAGTAAGGGTGAGTGTTGGAGTTAGAGTGAGAGGGCTGGAGTAAGACACACACACACACACACACATCAACTAAACCGCTTATCCTTCTGGGTCGCGGCGGGGTGCTGGAGCCTATCCTAGCTGTCATTAGGCGGAAGTCTGGAGTAAGACAGAGTGAGAGAATTGGAATGAGCGTGAGAGAGCTTGTATAAGAGTGAGAGAGCTGGAGTAAGACTGCGAGAACTACAGTAAGAGTGAGTGCTGCATTGAGAGTGAGAGAGCTAGCGTAAGAGTAAGAGGGCTGGAGTAAAGACAGAGAGTGCTGAATTAAGACAATGTGAGAGAACTGGCGTGATAGTGAGAGAGCTACAAGAACGAGAGTGAGAGAGCTGAGGAGAGAGCTGCTGGGGGGTTAAAGGAGCAGCGTCTCTCTCCAGTCACCTGACAGAGTCCGATCTTCGCTGCCCGCTGGAGTGGAACTGTCTGACAGTTTGAGGGCAATGCTGCATCCTGCTCTCTCTGCTGAATGTGTTAGCCCTGCCGCTGTGCAGCTCACAACCTCACACTCAACCTGACAAGCCAGTACTCTACAAGCCAGACCCTCAGAGTCGATTTGCATACCGCTCCCGTCACAAGAAAACTTCATCATTTTCTCTTTTTGGTTTTTATTTTTTTTACACTATTTGAAAACAAGAATTTTCCACAAAACATTTTTAAAAAAACAAAATTTGGAAAAACAACCTTTTACACTCTTTAAGTTGCAGCAACAGATGTAAAGTTAACCATAAAAATCGGCTTTTATTCAGTAAAAAATCTTGGGGGGTATGGAGGTGTGACCTATGTAGCTTGCAGTATGATGTGATGAGTAATATTTTAATACACAAAAAGCATAAACTGGATGGGGAAACCTGGGAAAATGGTGACCATGTAGAGATCACGATAGCAAAAGTGACAGTAGTGCGGGTGATTTTTCACTGGATAGCATGGATGTCACCAAAAGGTGCATTCTAGCTAGCTAACAGGTGTTAATCTTAATATCTTACTCTCTTATCTGTTCAGCCGGTTATCACCGTAGTGTAGCGTAAAGTGACGAACAGAGGAATATACATTACAACATACGCATTAAAATGAAGACTGGGATCAAATTTACTCATAACTGTGTGAATTTGCATATTACAAGTGATTTTTTAAATCAGAATTTAACCTAAAAAGATTACACCTGGCTGGAGTTCATCTTTAAGACTTATTATCTAGTAACTACTATGAGTACAATAACTGCACCACTAAAAATAAAGGCTCCTCAATGGTTCCTCACTTGGATGTACAGTTCCAAAACCTTTAATTGCTCTAGAGGCCGTGCCGTCTGTCAAAATTCTTCAAATTTAACAATGTTCTTCATATTAACATATCTTATTTAGTGAATGGTTCTTCTTTTTATTAACCAAATTTCCTCCCCAGTTTAGTCATGGCAAGTTCCCACCTGCTAGCTAGGTGTCATGACAAGCCAAACTGCTGCTAATGTAATGTCACTAGACAGCTCAACACACTTGTAGGAGAACACTAACTGACCATTCTTTTATGTCAGCTAGAAGATGCCCACATTGGTTAGCATCGCCTTGAGTGATGGTGAAGAGGGCCACTCTACCCACCCAGAGAGAGTGAGACCACAGATGGCTGTGGTATCACTAGGGATCTCCTGTTCTTAAAGAACAATCCATTAAAAGTTTTTCAGGGAACCAAACATTGTTTTTGTATGGCATTGTTTAAAATACCCTTTTGGAACCTTTATTTTTAAGAGTGTACTAAAAAGCGAATGCGTCGTTATTACAGTAAGAAAATGAAGTTTGGACGCTGTGTAGATGCTCACCATGTCCTAAACATTCAAATGGATAGCTACTGTATGGAACTGAACTTTAAGTTGAATGTAATTGATTCTGTTAAATCTAACCCTAAACTTAACTTCATCCAAAACCTATACCTAATACTAAACCTGACCCAAACCTTAATGATGTTAATAATCTTCAAGCTTCCCTACAGTCTTAACAATGATGGGTTTTCAAGGGTTCTTTAGTAAAGAAAATGGTTCTATATAAAACCATAAACATTCAAAGAACCATCTGCATGACTAAAGGGTTGTTTGCATCATGAAAGGGTTTTACAGATTGATGAAGAATGTGCTGTAGATGGTTTAACATAGAACCATTTTGAAGAGTGTTCTATATAGCACTAAAAAGGGTTCTTCTATTGTAATGATGTCAAGCTTGTACCAATAGAAGAACCCTTTTTGGTAACATATAGGACCATTTTCAAAAAGGTTCTACATGGACAGCACAGTCTTCATCATTCTGAAGAAGGCTTTCATGATGCAAAGAACCTTTTAAGCACACAAAGGGTTCTTTGAGTGTCCATGGTTCTGTATAGAACCATTTTTCCTACTGAAGAACCCTTATAGAACCATCTTTTTTGTGTGTGGATTAACTGTTAACAATATGAGCGTATGTTAATCTTCTAAAGGGGATTATCAAAATGTTTTTCTCCCTATAAAGTTACAATTTCAGAGGTGATGATATGCTTCTGCTCAACTTTTACAAACACTGGCTATGAACCACTGAAGAGAGGTAAAAGAGAAGTTTTGTTCTTTTGCAGCCGTGGCTGACAACCAAGAGAAAAGCTTATTGAGACTGGATTGTGACATGTTTACTCTTATTTATTATTTCCTGCTGTTCTCAGAGATGTTCCGTATCCACAGCTGCCAGAAAAGGCCTTTAATGTTGGCATGTGCATGCTGTATATGTTACATGAAACATGTGCTTCTCTGCAGGATGGAATCTTAATCCACCAAAACTTTACATAGCAGCCTGAGTGCTCATATTAAATGATTTTGCAGAGTATAAATTGGGTTAGTAAAGCATACTTGGCATCAGGACTTGAGACTGGTGTCCTATTTAGAAGGAACAACAAATTGCCATAGCTACATCTCGGATCCACTGGATCCACAGGGAGATCACTAAATGATCTGAAACTGCAATGTTTTTCCCCAAGCTCTTTACCTAGTTTTTGGTTTGTTTTAAATCAATGGTTTGAAATTATGACTCATAATTCAATGGATAAGTGAAGAATGAGTGTTTGTGCATCACTTGAAGGATAGTCAAAAGATTATCTCTAAAAAATACAAATATTTTTTAAAGGATTTTGGTGGTTTTTGGAAAACATTAAGATACACTGTAAAAATCCCTCCCATAGACGTCCAAAAAACATAGAAGTCAAAAAAAGTTTAGGAACTCTAATATCCCACTAATGGAGCGACGTAAATGTGCTATGATGTCCACCTCACAGTCAATGCGATAAACAGAATGCGTGTGATTATATAACTTGTCTGGGACTATTTTTTTTGCTCCATGGATGCTTGAATGCTGAACATTCTTTAACATAGTCTTGTTGTAAAAGCTTTAGCACAGGTTCTGCCACCATCATAACCTGCTCTGCAGAACAAAATAGCTTGCACAGTGTTTTCTAACAACACTGTCAATAAAGTGGCCATATTACAATGCACTGAAATAAGATTCAGAAATAAACAGAAGCCCTGTTACTCACGCAAGGAGTGCCACTCATCTTGCCGGATGGTCTTGGTGATGTTGTAGGACAGGTTCTTGGGTATCGTAGCTGAAGAATAGTGGTACTTGATATAGGAACATCTTGCAATTGCACCTGAAACCGAAAAGAGATCAACCAGTTATGAGACGACCTGGCAACCATGTATAGCATGTATAAAATATATATATAGTAAGAACTTCACTCTATCATGTAAAAAGATTCTGCTGCATGTTTTATTCTTCTTTAGAGCTACAGAGGAACAGATACTTTCTGCTTTATCTGAATAAACCCAGCATTTGCAAATTCACAGAGCGGCTCACTGTAGGTGACTGTTCACTTCAGTGAATTTGATGTGAAGCCATTTATTCAGCATCTGTTTAACACACGTCTGCTGGTGCCTTTAATTTCATCAATACACTTTTGGCAAGATCAGTAACACCTCCCATTTTCCTTCCTTCTATCCATCCTTACATCCTTTCTTCCATCCATCAATCCATCCATCTCACCTTCAATCCATCCCTTCATCTTTCTTTCTTTCTTTCCTTTCTTTCATCCATCCATCATCCTTTCTTCCTTCCATCCACCCATTCATCCAAATATTTATCTTTCTTTTTTCTTCCATCCATCCATCCATCCCATTTATCCATCTATCTATCCATCCTCCATCCACCACACATCTTTCCCCGCCTTGTTTCTTCTATCCATCCATTCATCTATTTATCTTTCTTTCCTTTCTTCCATTCATCCATCCATCATCTATCCATGCTCCCTTCCTTTCATTCATTCATCCTTCCTTCCTTCCTTTCATCCATCCATCCTTTCTTCTCTATCCAACTTTCTTTCCTTCTATCCATCCATCTTTCCGTTCATCACCCATCCATCTACACCTTCTTGTTTCTTCCATCCATCCATCATCTGTCCATTAAATTCTTTCTTCTTTCCTTCCTTTCTCCATCCATCTGCCCATCCCTCCATCCATCTGGCCATCCCTCCATCCATTCATCCATCCCTCCCTCTCTCCCTCCATTTTTCTTTCCTTTCTTTCTTTCAGCCCTGAGGCACTTCAATATCATTGCTCTCTTGAAATTACGTCCCAGGAGAGCAGTACGCTTCTTTCATTTTTTTTTCTCCTTAGGACAAAGTAAGGCAATTACATTTCTGATAATCATCAGAGAGCTGATTCCTTCAGCCTGTGCCTGCCTTCATGATCTTGCTTTTTTCCGCTGCAGATTTCCAAGCATAAGCATTTTGTGAACATGCCTATGCTTTGAAGAGAGGGAGACTTACTACACATATTGCTTCAAGGCTAAAGTGATTTCACTCGAGAGAAGCACCTTTGAGAGTTCAGCCTGCATAGAAAAACTACACTCTCCCTGCTCTCTAGGTAAAAGAGTGATGTGCTTCCATGCCCTAAAGACAGACACTCACACATACAAACACCACGCTTGGGAATATGACCACTGACAAAGGTAATTACAATCTACTGAGTCCTCACTACTGTACATGCCAGGAGTCATTCCAGCATGCATCACAATCTAAAATATCATTTCCTGTTAATTATAATGTTATGGAGATTGGACACAAGCACTTCCTTTCATCCTGAATAGGGAATTGCAGTCCCAGCGCTTGGCCTGCTGTTCCAGCACATCTTCCAAGAACCTGTACACTAGCTCTAACCTACATAGAGCTTCACAGGACTATTCCAGTGCCACATGATTAATTAGTGATTAGCACTAGGGTCTGAAAGTGTGTTTTGATGCCCACTTCTGCCAGTGCCTTTTATTTCACCATATTTAGCAAGATCTGAACAAGTAACAGCTCCCATCTTCCCTTCTTCCTTCCATCCATCCATCCTTCCTTCATTCTATCTATCCATTCACCCATCCATTATTCCTTCCTTCTTTTCTTCATACCATCCATCGATTCTGCCATTCATCCATCCTGACTTCTTTCCATGCAGCCAATCATTCACTCACCCAGGCATTCATCTATCCATACATACATCCTTTGTTCCAATTCAACTACATGTGTATTTATCCACCCATCTATTCATCCATCTGTTCATCCCTCCTTCGTTCCACTCATCCAGGCTTTTATCCATCCAGGCTTTCATTCATCCATCTATCCATCATCCACCCTTCCTTCCTTCATTCCATCCATCAATCCAGCCATTCTTTGATTCTGCCTTCCTTCCATCATGCATTCATCCATTCATACATCCATCTATCTATTCATACATCTATCCATCATGGACCTGTCCTTCCTTCCTTACATTCACCCATCTCTCCATCCATCCTTCCTTCCATTCATCAATCCAGCCATTTAACTGTTCTGCCTTCCTTCCATCCCATCTTCCTTCCTCCCATCCACCCATCCAACTGTCCATCTTCCACCCATTCTTCCTTACTTCTTCATCTGTTTTCCATCCATTCAACCAATGATCCATTCATCCACCCACTCACCCACCCATCCTTCCTTCCTTCTTTCCATCTAACCATCCATTCTTCCATCAATCAATCCATCCACACTCATACTGTTTTTTTAAAACCCCCATAACATTTTTTCTGTTTTGTTTTCTTTCTATCTATCCCACTTTAAAATAGCAGGTGCAATTATCTGAACATTTCATGATGAATGGACCAATAGATATGGTCTTAATACATTAACATGCATTAAACTGAAGAATGTTTTTTTGTCTCTCCTATAAAGTTACCATTTTATGTTTTACTACAGCAATACTGTTATCCTGGTATAGGAAACTTTTTATCATTTGAGTGCTATATTGATAATAATATCCCAAATTATATTTAAACGTACACTGTAATGCCCTCTTATACCTCATCATGATTGCTGCTTCAGTGTTTGCTCTTTATATATGGCTTACGCTGACAAGTCCTCAACAAACATCTCCAGTTACACGCAGCATGTAGGACAGCTCTTTGCACTTAAAACACTGCACGGCCTGTCCTTGTGGACCTGAAGCTGATTAAGGTGGAGTGTAAACCAAAACCTCCCGCTGGACAGCCCTGTCCTACTGTATGGATTTCTTGATGGCTGGGGGAGCTGGGAAAAAGCTGGGAAGATTTCCGATAAGACAATAGAGGCTGAAAATCACAAAGATGGTTCATCAGAGAAAGCTCCAATAGATCTGAACTGTTGACTGGGTTTGATTTAAGCTCAGATCTTACAAGTGATTATGTGCCTATTCTTCCTGATGGAGCCCTCCAAGGTCCCCAGTGGCATATATGCCTTTAATTATCCTTTTCATGTCACATCACGACATTGAAACAAATGAAAAAGTAAGAAACGCAGAGTTGAGCCTACCAGTAAAGAATGCAAATAATATGTAAATGTAATTAAAAGTACATATTACACTTATTTTGCACAACAATTTACATTCTTTCACAACTGGACACTGCTTGTTCTGCATTTCTTTCCATAATGCTATTAGTCTTCACCCCCAGCACTCCCTACTCATCTGTAGTCTGTCCTGCTGTTGTGAGCCTGTCAGTGAGCGGTCACCTCACTCAGCTCCACCTGAAGTCCACGTAGGCCCGCAGCACTGGGACTGTGCCCTTTGTCTTTAGATCTGTGTTTATCAAAGAGAATCTCTCTTTTCAGTGCAGCTTTTGCTCCAGCAGGGTGTTCTGGTGTTTATGCATGTTTCAGCCACTTTTTCACTGCAAGAGTGACCCACAATTTAGTATAAAAAAACAGCCAGCAGACTTCTCTCACAGTTTCTTGTGCATGCAGAGACTGATTACTGACTGGACCAGTGGGGCCAGTGCCCAAGGCCTTTAGGGGGCCTCAGACCACAAGACCTGAGGCAGCACAACAACTAGGGACAGTCCACTGCAGATGCAGCCTAATTTTAGCAGAACAGCAGCCTATTTATGGCACTACAGATGAGTAGGGAGTGCCGAGGTGAAAACTAGAGGCATTATGGAAAAAACAGAAAGAACAGCCCTTAATTTAATAGCCCGTAATGTGATGACTAAATAAATAAAATAAAGACCGCTTTTGGCCTATACCCCACCACTATATTTCAAAAAATTAAAACCCGTTTAACACCAAAAATGTACAGAAATATAACTGTGCAGGAAATAAAAAGCTACTGTGCCTTAATTGAGAATTTAGCCAACAATAACTTGTTTATAGTACCCATTTCTCATAAACACAAGCTGTTTATCACATCTATCTTTAATATTTTATTCTTTTTCTTTATATGATCAACATATGGGAGCAGAAGGCCACAAAGACAATTGTGCCCAAATGCTTCCTAAGACCAGTATCTGTCCCTGGGTGCATGATATAATTGGCAGCCCATATATTATTCATAGTTAAATAGGAAAATGTAGTTACTATTGGTTCAATACTGGAACTACTAAACAGAATAAATAATTTAGCAGTCTATTTTTAGCTTGTGCATGCACTAACTCATATGTAGTCACTAGTGTTGGGCATTTCCATTCATTTTAATTTCACTCAGATGGATAGCTCAACACCACTGCCTACACACACAAAGGCTTGGAGGTTTGATTCCTATCACCACTGTACCAGTTACAGTGCTAGGTCATGTCTGATTTAGCAATGTAAAATTAATCAATAATCCATCTTTGGTTTTAACCTGTCAAACAATAATTGCACTTCATACACTGATTTTAATGTAACTTTTTTAAAATTTTTATAACGTTTTACAGTTGTTTAATTGCTTGAAATTGTTTTGCAAAAAATGGTATCAGTTTATCCTATCATATAGAAATTGTATAGAAATTGTAAAATTGCACGGTAAAGTGTTTTTCTATCTATCTTCTATCTTCTATCTTTATTGTTGGATGCACTGTGACAGTTTCAGATTGTTATCGAAACATTTACTATTCATTCTTTTCATTAGAATAAAAACAAAACTTGAAAATGAAATGGTAACACTACATTAAGGGTCCCAAACGAATTGATATGCTAATAAGTAATTAAATACTCATTATGTATTAATTAACTGCTCATTAAGCAATAGCTAATGATTAATTACTTAGTAATTAGTAATTGAGTGCACTAATAGTTTGTCATTAATTCACAGCTTTGTTACTCATTATCTGTGTACTAACTGCTGCTTA